AACGATCCTCAACGATTTTCGGTGCCAACGATCGTCCCGACCGCCTATCGTCATTTCCAACGATCCCCAACCATTTTCGGTGTCAACGATCCTCCCGACCACCTATCGTCATTTCCACTGATCCCCAACGATTTTGGGTGCCAACGATCCTCCCGACCGCCTATCGTCATTTCTGACGACCCCCTTGAAACGTTTGGTCCTGACCCCCTATAGCCCTTTACAACAATCCCCAATTCGTTTCGGTGCCAACGACCCTCCCGACCACCTGTAGTCATTTCTAACGATCATCAACGATTTTCACTGATGCGAACGATCCTCCCGACCACACATCGTCGTTTCCAACAACCCCTTAAAAACGTTCGGTGCCAACGATCCTCCTGACCCCTTATAATCCTTTACGACAATCCCATACGATTTCCGGTACCAACGACCCTGCCGACCACTTATCGTCATTTCCAATGATCCACAAACGATTCTCACTGCCAACGATCCTCCCGACCACCTATCGTCATTTCTAACGATCCCGGACCATTTTCGGTGTCAACGATCCTCCCGACCACCTATCGTCATTTTCAAAGATCCCCAACCATTTTCGGTGCCAACGATCCTCCCGACCACCTGTCGTCATTTCCAACGATCCCCAGCAATTTTCGGTGCCAACGATCGTGCCGACCGCCTATCGTCATTCTCAACGGTCCCCAACAAATGTCGGTGCCAACGATCCTCCCGACCACCTACAGTCTTACCCAATGATCCCCAACCATTTTCGGTGCCAACTACCCCCCCGACCACCTATCGTCATTTCCAACGATCCTCAACGATTTTCTGTGCCAACAATCCTTCCGACCACCTATGATCATTTCTAACGATCCCGGACCATTTTCGGTTTCAACGATCCTCCCGACCGCCTATCGTCATTTTTAACGATCCCCAACGAATTTCGGTGCCAACGATCCTCCCGACCACCCATCGCCATTTCCAACGATCCCTAACGATTTTCGGTTCCAACGATCCTCCCGACCACCTATCGTCATTTCCAACGATCCCGGACGATTTTCACTGCCAACGATCCTCCCGACCACCTATCGTCATTTCGAACAATCATCAACGGGTTTCGGTGCCAACGATCCTCCCGACCACCTATCTATACTATCGTCATTTCAACGATCCCTAACGATTTTCGGTGCCAAGGATCCTCCCGACCACCTATAGTCATTTCCAACGATCCCGTACCATTTTCGGTGCCAACGATCCTCCCGACCACCTATAGTCATTTTGAAGAATCCTCAACGATTCTCGGTGCCATCGATCCTCCCGACCAAAGACAGTCATTTCCAACGATCCCGTACCATTTTCGGTGCCAACGATCCCCCGTACCAACGATAGTCATTTCGAACGATCCTCAACGATTCTAGGTGCCATCGATCCTCCGGACCAAAGACAATCAGTTCCAACGACCCCCAACGAGTTTCGGTGCCAACGATCTTCCGACCGAAGAGAGTCATTTGCAAGGATCCTCAACGATTCTCGGTGCCATCGATCCTTCGGACCAAAGACAGTTATTTCCAACGATTCTCGACGATTGTCGGAGCCAACGATCCTCCGGACCAACGATAGTAATTTCGAACGACTCTCGGTGCAAACGATCCTCTGGACGAAAGATAGTCCTTTCCAACGATCCTCGCGTGTTCTAGGTGCTAACGATCCTCCGGAGCAACGATAGCTATTTCCAACCATCCTAACCGATGGTCGGTTCCAAAGATTCTCGGCACCAACGATAGTGATTTTCAACGATCTTCGGTTCTCATGATGCGCGGAACCAACGATAGTGAATTTCAACCATCTTCGGTTTCAACGATCCGTGAGACCGACGATGATAGTCATTTCCAACGATATTGGATGCCAACGATTATTCGGACCACAGATACTCATTTCCAATGATCCTCAACGATTTCCGGTTCCAACGATCCTCCGGACCAACGATAGTCATTTCCAACCATCCTCGGTGCCAACGATCCTCCGGACCAAAGATGGTCATTTCTAACCATTCTCAACGATTTTCGGTTCCAACGATCCTCCGGACCAACGATAGTCATTTCCAACGATCCTCAACGATTGTCGGTGCCAACGATCCTCCGGACCAACGATAGGCATTTCAACTATCCTCAACGATTCCAGGTGCCAACGATCCTCCGTGCCAACTTTCCTCCGCACCAACGATAGTCACGTTCAACGACCCTAAGCGATCCTCGGAGCCAACGATCTTCTGGACAAACGACAGTGTGTTCTTACGATCCTCAACAATCCGCGGTGCCAAAGACGCTGTGGATCGACTATGGTCAGGTTGAACGATGCCCAGCTATGCACGATGATTCTTGGCTCCCACGATCCTTAGGACCAACGATGGTGACAATCAGGGAACCTCAAGGATCCTGAGTCCCATGGTGCGACTGCGTCAACACCACTGAATGCACCAATTAGGTTTTCTGCTGCTGCTTTTGTTGCTGGTGTAGGGAAGACCTCCATCTCATTTCACCTGTCATTATCGTTGCCAGAATTTTCGAACCGCAAAATTTCGAGACTCCCTGTTGTGTTGGCGAACATTTAGCCACGGAAAGGGTTAGGTCACAGCGGGTGGATGAGATTCTTTGGTACCTCTCTTTTTTCTGCAGGGTGTGTCTGTGCGTGCGATCTTCGATTATTTTGTTTCTCCGGTTCCTCTACAACTGCAGGGGGCTGGGGTGAAGTATCTCGTACTACATGTGAATTTGGGCACATACGCCCCAAGGTAGCACGACCATCTGCACGCCCAAATCGGTTTGGCGAGGAATGCCCCATGTTTCTTCCTCCTCAGAAGCCAGCAGACCTCGTTGTGGTCGAAAAAGAGGGTACTACACTCGGTCGACCGGAAATCAGGCGGTAATCAAACTTGGGCCCCTCTACATCGTGTCGGACCAGGCCGATGTTTTTAGCCTTTTGTTCGCTCCTGGGATGAAGGGAGAAAAAGTCGCGCTCGCGCTCCGCGGCTGATTGTTATTGCACGAAGAGGCAACCGCTGGACTCATCCCAGTTTTTTTGCACCTGTCTGCACCTTTCGGAATATATTTTACCCCACTATGCGACGCGTTGCATAGTATGCGACGCGTTGCACTCACTCCCGAGAGACTTTAGCCCACAACCTAAGAGCCTGAACCTTTTTTTATTCGCGAGACTATATATGTATCAACTGAATAAAAATGCATCCTGCTCGGGTATGCCGGGCCGCCTGACCCTTGGACCGGTGGGGGGGACCGGAGGTGACACAATGTAACGCGTGAAAGATGTCGTTTCGTCACGTATCACCCGTACATATGAGGCGACTGAATCGGCCACGCAGCACGTTTTGCGAGGTGGTGTCATGTTCGTGATGACTGTGACCGTAGTAAACTGAGGGCTGGGGGAGAATTTATTTAGCGGCACGCAGACCGGGGTCGCGATACCTTCAGATACCAGTGAAATTTTCTTCGTCCTTTGTGGAACCTTGTTTCGCGTGTGCGCCTGCCTGAGGCGGTTGCTCCTCCACCCAGGCACGCTCATTGCGTCACTACCGTCCCTGCCCTGGGCGCGACACACGGCGCATAGCGTTTTACGTGCCTTTTTCGTCCTCTACGCAATAAGGCCGAGGTTAAAACGACTACAAACTGCAATACTATTAATCTACTTGCCACTACCGGTGTAGCATGTGTAGCATGGGTTGCTCGAAGGCCTTCTCCGTATTCAACCCCTACTGAGTGCACCCCTGCTGCACGTGCTAGCTCGATCACAATGAAACGTATTTCATGCGCACGTTGGGAGAGGCGTCCCCAATTCTTCGCGATCTGTCATTTTAGCAAATGCTTCCCTCAAGCGTGACGTCAAAGGCCCCGGTTGTCCATCCCCGATCTGACGCCCATCGATCTTCACCACGGGAGAAAGCTATGTTTTTCGTTTCGAGCAAGGTAGAGGGACAAAGAGAGGACGAACGAGAGAGAGATAAAGCGATAGGTAGAGAGAGAATGGATGAGGGTCAGGTTCCGAAAGAAATGACGGCCTTCCGAACAAAGACAACGCATACGGAGCCGGGGAGCATTCGAAAGGAAACCAAGCTTCCGACTTTTGTTTCACCTTCGCGGGAGGGAAAGACACGTGCTAGCGCCCGCGTAAATGGCACCGCATGAAGCATATCGTCACACGTGACACGCAAAAACCGACAATCTCGACTCCATATTGTGGAAACTGCAACAGGAAAACAGCACAACTGCATTACAGAGCAGCGGAAGGGGGAAGGCCGCTTCACCTCGCTGGGTAAGTTACGCCGGAGGGCTTAAATCTGTCCGACATACCTCTCCCATGGTACCCGTGGTGAAGACCTCGTCCGCACAATGGAGCTCGGACAGGGAAACCCTCTTTTCCTCCGCAAGAACGCCGAGTTCGGCTGCCAGCTCCAAGATGAGGCCCCTTCGAATGTCGCCGCAAGTTCGATTCGGCAGACACAGCCCAAAGGCAAACATGAGCGTCCCTCGTCGTACCGGCTATCAACACAATGAAGAAATCAAAAGCTTTGCTTCGCGCGCCAGATGTGGTAAGCACACGGCACACGGGTCGAGAACTATCGAAGCTCCTGACGCTAGGAAAACGTGAGCATCTTTCTCTCTCTCTCGCCATATTTCGGTGGCAAGGATTCTCGTCTCGGTAAAAATGCGCAAGACGACAGCCATCACCGGCACAAGTACCATTGCATTTTGAAACCTTGAAGAAGAAACGACTATTGTTGACGTGAGCGTCCTATGCCCCCTTGGCCACGAACGCGCTTGGTGATGCAACAACCGGCACGATTGACGAGCTTTCCCGACCACACCACCGACAACCATGGAGCTACGCATACAAACGCTGCGCACGGGAATGAATGGGAGGCTCTGGCCAAAACATAGAGTGGCCGCGCACCTCGTGATACCCGGCAGACAGCTGCCGGCGGCCGGTGTCAGGAGCTTCCCTCCCTTGGCCATGAAGATATTGGTTGCGTTCGTCTCGGAAACGAAGCCCTCGACGTCCAGCATCACCGCGTCGGCGGCCCCGGCGTTGTTAGCCTGGATCTTGGGCTTCGTTGAAAAAAAATAATGAAATGAATACGGAAATTAACCGCCGGGGCAAACAAAGGAAAGCGAAATCAAGACACCACCTAAACAAAGGCAAAATACGCCACAAGAGGGAGCGTCTATCGCCTCGGTAAGGGTGCGCATTCGCGCATCAGCTGAATATGTACCCTTCATCGACGTTGGTAAACAAGGTTAACCAAACACGTAGATTCTGAAAGAGATTCTTCGGAAACATGACCCCGTGGCGCTATGACTGGGGGGTTTGTGCGCTAGGATAGATGGCTCTCAGGGCCTGTGCTGATCGTTCGTCTGGAAATCCCACGGGATATCAGATGCCCAGAGCAAAGGCGACAATAACCAACCGAGTATTTCGGTAAGTGATTGAGGGGAAACTACGATGCCGAAGACGTTCCATAAGCGAAGAACGTTTCACTGATCACGAGAAACTTACAGAATGCAGATACTGTGGCGTTGAGCGGCGGACTAGAGAACTACCGCTCCAGTACAAGAGTACCTACGACTTAGCCCTTTTTGTCGCCCAATCCACGTAACCACAGCAAGGAATGGAAATGAAAGAATAAGATTGCCCGACACAAGCAGCAAAGGCGCGAACGGGTTCGGGAAGGAGGAGCAGCGCTCACCAATATGTTGTTGAGGAGGTTGTTGTGGTGGATAGCGGAATCGAGGCATTGTGGAGGGTTTCGTCTATTGGAGGCGGTGACCAGTGTCACGCCGAGGTCGTTGTCGTACGTTGCCGCTCCGCCGACCTCTTTCCTCTCTGCTAGAACAATCAGGGTGCACCTGGGCATGAAGCATGAGGTGGGGCACGTCAGAATATCCATGTCATTTGCGCGTTCGCCAAAGAAAAACGAAAAAGGTCCAACATTGGGCACCGTTTGGCGATATGTGAAAGCTCTAGCAGGTCGCTCGGCGGTGTGTTGTCGTTGTTGAATTTCATGAACATGCCCGATCTTGCAAGCTGTTGGTATCGCTCGCACGGTACCGTTCCCCCCTGCCGTCTCATTCCTCACCGAGACTGTCAACATGCGGCTCCTAGTTTCGCTCGGAGCTGGGCCCGGGCACAGCGCAAATGCCGTCCGCTCAAAATGAGGAATGAGCATACACCCAGAGTCTACCTAGAGATTGAGCGAGCCTTGTTTCACGCCCGTGGACGGGAAGAGACAGATTTCCAATCAAAGCAAACCCGTCACTTTCACGCTCCGATCTAGATCTTGAAGCCAAACACTTTTGTCCCAGAGAAAGGGGAGAGAAAACCGATGGTGCGCCTCGTGTTGGCACATGACTGAGCTACCATTCCACCACGGTTGCCCGAATCGGGATGAATTTCGTGGAAGACCCTACAAGACCCAAGTCCGCTCACCCAAAGACGTTGAAGTCGGGGTTCATGCTGGACGTGGTCTTGGTACCCCTGGTCAGGGTTACCCTCGCGTGGGCCCCGTCCACCATATTGTTAGCGGCAAGCGTGGCCATAATCGCCACAGTGATGTCTTTGGAAGACGGGATCGCCTCGAAGGCGAGGGCATGGGCGGAATCTTGCAGGCGTCTCAGGTGCCTGGGGCATGAAAAAACGCAAAGCAGGGCGAAGGCAGGAGTTCCTGACCTGACATTCATGCAACCACGAACGCAGATTCTTGTACAAGGGAAGGTCGTTTCTCTCGTTTCTCTCGTTGTGTATCGTGTTGGTACCAAAGCTACGAATGCACTGAGCTTCACGCCGTAAACGCCACCAAGCAAGCCTCTCTCCAGCGCTCAAAAATGTCATCATGGGGCGTTGGAGACGGCGCAAACTAGACTGGGCGCGAAAGCACCGCCAAACAGGCTTCAAGCTGTAATAAATGTTGAGCGAGGGGAAGACCCGAAATATACAGAGCAGTTGAGCAAGAATACTAACCTAACCTATACCAAATAGACAGCGGATGGGAGGCTCCTTCGTTTTACAAGCTGATTCTCGCTGACCACCCAAATTCTGCCAAGCACGAAATGCCGAGCGCAACAGTTGTCCACTCTGTATGCAGTTGGTGAATGAGTGACACCGCCTTCTACTGTTAGTTTTGTTGAAGGCCTTAGCGGGGTTGCGCGAAGTCTCAGCCAATCAATGGCCTCCATTTACTTTGACAACCAGAAACGATTCACCAATGGGATGCATGGTAAACCCTTCGCCTACAACAGTACGTAGGCAGTGTGTCGCAGTTCCCGTCACACGTACCCAACCCCACACTCTTAGACATTGCTGTCCTTTTCCGGACCGACCGCTTCGCGTATGGTATGGCACACCTTGTGGCAACGCGAAAAAATCCCCATTTTCACACCTGTCAAGGCAGAATATCTTTGCCCGGTACACCCGAATGCCCTCCCACACGGCGTCACCCCCTTGCACCGACGAGTCGAACACAGACACCTAGGCATGTGCAGGCGATGACAGCGAAACGAGGAGGAAGGACCGCGGAACAACCAGTTATCGGGGCGTATTCCCATCCTTAACCTTTGTCACCATTGCTTCGCACCATGATCAACCATTCGGATCCGTTGCCACGTATACATAACAACAAACGCATCTACGACACAAAAGAGCCAAGTAGTCCAAAGATTTCTTGGAAGCGAAAATGTAGAGACAGCACTGCAGTTGGATTGATGCTCCCGAAGGCGGATATAAAGAAGGCTGTTCACACCAACGATGCCACGAGAATGAACACGCGCACGACCCGCCACGACTTGCATGAATTGTGTGAAAGTGAGCGGGCTTCTTGTAGTATCGGTTTGTTCCGACCAAACACAAGCGAAAAGAGTCCGGCGGACAATTGGAAATACCGCCTCAAAAGGTGTTTGACGCAATCATTAAATAAGGTAACGGCCGCTCTAAGAACGAGGAGAGGAAAATCAGTACACGTGAGTGTGAATTCACTACGCTGGCTGTTTTGACCATCGTCAGGACATAGTACGAGGCTGAACCAACAAGAAGCAATAACGTTCTAGTGGAGAACGACCGCATGAACGTGAAACGACAAATGAATAGACCCATCTCCCCACAGAACATCATCACACTCGACAATAAAACGTACCCCGCACACAAGCCATTGCAAGCGACGTTCGGCCAAGAATTGTGCTCAGAAAACCATTATAGGATTGGACCGAAACGAGCACTACAATCTCCATCCCCGTCCAGCAGTACCATAACGACCACCGCCTCACACGAAACACGACCAAAGGGATTAAAGGCTAACCAACAGGACACAGAAAGGACTTCAACATTCACCCCGTGCACGCACTACACCGAACGGCGCACAATACCTTCGCCATATCACGTGGAACGAGCCCTCCTCCAACCCACACCAGGATGCCCTCGTTGACCGCAGCTGCACCCTCTGCCTTCGCGTCCCTTGCAGCACTGCCTGCCTCTGCGGGCAGGGGGCGTTGCACCTAGCGTGGTTGGATTCATTTTTCGGAGTTAAGAGAAGCTTCTGGCGAAAACACATCCAGCCAAAATCTTACGGCAAAACTTCCATGCGCCAAGCTAAATAACAAACAAGCGTCTGACTTTGTAGAAGGGAACGTCTCCACAAGCATAGGAGGAGTATTGCCGGGGGTGCTTGTGCCTCACAGAAGAGATGGTTGCCCATTTTGTCGGAAAATATCGCCCACAACGCAGAGGTGCGGAACTTCGCAAAACAGGTGCCACTGTTCCGAACCCAGGCACGTGTTGCAGTACTGGAGAGCCGGGGCATTGGACGGTCATTCGGGCTTACTTCCCCGGCTGCACAGTACTTAGCGAACGACCTACACCGGTCTATTGACATGTACGTACACTTGTCAAGGGTACGAAACTATGCGATAGCGCAAGGCGAAAGGAACATCCAAACGTTCTGCGGGACACAGTGCAAGTCGACATGGGATGGCGAGTGCCAAGAATATCACTTGTCTCCGACAATAATTGAGTGCAGTAACGGGAGGGGAAAGCCGTCCCAAACCAACAACAGGAGTGGTGGATGACATGACGTCGAAAATACAGAAATGGTCACTCGAAAACAAACACAACGGGGCTAGCCGAGAACGCGATGGTGGGCGGCGAGAGGAGAAGGACACCAGGGCACGAAAGGAAGCCGTCGGGAGGATGAGGTGATGCATTCAAAAGAAAAATAGGAAAGTCACTTCTAGAAAAAACAAAACAGACTTGAAGGACGTTCTGACCTTTCCGAGCTTGCCGAACCCCGTGATGGCCTTGGATCTCAGGAGCTGGTAGATAGGCATGCACTCCTGTTTGAGTTTCGATGCAACGCGGTCAGAATTCAGGAACGACACTACAAGAAATGTTTCGGGAAAGACCAAAACGCAAGGCAACTGTTTTTATCCGACAGGTGTTGAAACTACAACGACTCTCTTCTGCTCCACTTCAATGTATCACACTCTTCCACACATATCAGGAAAGAGTGCTCACATTGGACGAAGGCGAACAACCGAGTCGTGACACCCCCCCCCAGACCGATGGGGATACAAGACGACAGGCAGCCCGCGACGTTCTCAATCATTTTGGTGTGGTAAATCGCAACAAAGAAAAACACCATGTAGACAGAGTCGCGCAAAGGCGCTCAATCGTTGCGCGGCCTTCCGGTGTATGCCCTACTCACCTCCAGGAGCGGCGCCAAGTTCTGGTCGAACTTGACGTAGCGCGGGGAGTTGTCAAAGCACGTCGACTTTCTGCACCCCTTGTACCTGAGTATTGCAGGCACAAAACCCAACACAACCAAACCCGCATGTATGAGGCACGCATGGTTCGAGCCAGCGAAGAGTACATTCAACCTTTAGTCGCCTTTCCCCAAACGGTGTGTGAACTACCTTACACGAGTGGCTCGTAGCTCCGAAGCACACCCTGTGCAGCCGCAGCCACGTACCAGCCTGGTTCACGATATCCCCTATCCCATTAGGTATGTTGCCGATGCTTTTTAACATGTTCCCTGTGAGATCGCTCTTTGCGCCAAATCAGTGCCCTCACCACACGTATGCCCAGCAGCCGTCGTAGGGCTTGGGACCAGCCTCCCAGCTCAGCTGTTCTGGGGCGTAGGGGATACCAGCCATTTCCGACACCTCCCGCAACACACCCTCTGGGTTGGCACGAAGCAGCTCGGCGTCGATCACTATTGGTTCCTATCGACAATAGAGAGTTGTGCCGGGAAGAGCAAAACGGGTGGAACAATTTTTAACAGCCTCGTATGGTTGCAGGGAAGGGTCGGGTCACAAGCACATATTTACACGAAAATCAGCTTATCGTTTACAACGAGGCTTGGGGGGGTCCGTAAGGTGTTCCACGGGTACGCGAGGTTTAGGTAGGGGTTGCACAAAACGTTGCTGAGGGGTGGTGATGGGTCGTTCGGCATATACGTGGTACCATATCGCAGATTTCCCTTGTAGAGGCCCTGGGAACGACGACAACGAACACCTTCTTCACTCCGTTCCGCTCGTTCTCATTGAAGGGTTGGGTACACAAAACTAGCCATGACTTCGCAGGGTCACACGCATGAATATTTTCCGGTTCAAGGTGCGACGAAACGCACCACGCAGTAAGTTTGATTCCACCCATGAAGCATAAAATCGATTGTTCCTGATCAAACACTTTTCGAGGATGCGCGCGTGAAAACCAGCAAGCAATCTTTGCATACGCCTCCCGTTTACAACTCGTTGGTCGGACCACAGGAAAAAAGCCGTTTTCTAAAGGGTGGGAAAAACACAGGGGGGATCAGATTCGTTCCGATAGAGGTACGTATGCAAGTCCACAGCGTCGGGAAAAACAAGACTATACCTCAGGAAGAGCCGCCTCTTGCAACTGGCCTGAGCGCAAGAATGCGGCTGGTGTCGGCACCCACTCTGGGAAGAGGGCACACGACTAAGCACGCAACCCAATCAAAACCCAAAAAACAAGTGACAATTGTAAATATCTCACCTGACCCATGGCGCGTACCAGAGAGTACATGTGCAAAAGGTCCAGCATGCCGATCTGAATAAGGCCAACACCCCAAGGGAGAGGGAACAACAAAAAAAAAGGAGCGAAACCAATATGCGGCGCAAATCACAAGAAGCAGTGATACCCACCGTAGTTGTGAGCAAGTGTGCACACAATGCGCCGCCAAACATGGGTACAGCAGCGTTCCGACTAAGAATACACGAATGATGAGGAATCACGAATAGTCGTGCGTTACTTGGGGGGACGGGAGGGACGAAACTGTTGATTGTTGCATAGAGTTGCTGCACAACTCGTCCTTTTCGAGGCACAACCTTCGTGATCGTCGGCACGCAGAAAAACGTTTCGGAGTTACTGACGAGGAGCGCACTCCTTGCCGCTCTGCGTCATGAATTATTCATACTTCGTTCACGAATTTCCTCGCCAAGACAGCTTCATCAGCACGAAGTTTGGAAATATGTGTCGCCTGGGACATAGCCTGACGACGTTCTGTATGCGTGTATCGCTCATGCGGAAGGGAAAGAGGGGCCAGGGGCGCAGCGCGTTTTTACCTCCTTTAGGTTCGCGTGGATGTTAGTGTTCCAGGAGGGAAGCATGTGGATCGGGGTCCTGATCTGGATGATGTTTCGGCACTTGGGCAGGAAGGAGAGATCCAGGTTCCTCATCTGCGTTGTGTCCCATGCGGGTCGCCAGCAGATGTAGCAGGTGGGAGCGCGAAACAATTCCAAAGCAGCCGTATTGTGCATTCAGCAAGGGTTCTGGAGCCCAGCAAGGAGAGAGGGTGGAGTCGCGCAACATACCGCTTGGGTGCGAACGTTTGCGGAAGAATAAACGGCAGCGAAATCATCAAGCATTCAACCATGAGGTGTATCATACCAGTAGAGGGCAGAGGTTGAGGGAACCACACATATTTGTGAGCGTTCGCATATCAAAGAAACGAGAAACGTCTTGGGTTCACCGCGATCGGTGATGGAGTTCAACATAACGGTCTAAATGAAGGGATCGCGACCATGAGCCAGCACATTCGAAACTAGCGCCGTCTCAAACCTGTTTGGCCATGTGCTTCATGTAGACCACCGGCTTAGGCGTCGGGCCTAGCGCCACCTCCTTGATCCATCGGTCGCCGTCGGAATCCTAAGCGTAATGAATTGCGAACGAAGAGAGGCGTAGACAGGGAGCAAACAAATAGCATACTTCATTGCGAGGTGGCGGGGGGGTTGGAAGGTGTGGCCAGACGCCACACACTCTATGCAATGTAAAATTGTGATGATTTTTTTTGCGGCACCTCTCGTTGAAACTGTATCTCGAGGGTTGAACTTGGTTGGATAGCTGGTTACTGCTTCTGCTAGATGTGTGATCGGTTAAACATTCCATGGACATGACAGGTGCTGGTAGGTAGAACGCTTGGCGGCTTGTCTGGCATACACTGACACCGTGTACTGCTACGCTGCTGCTTCCCTCAACTTGTCCTCCCGCCGCCCTTCTCCGTCTCCATTCTTCTCCTACTTCTGCTTGCGGAACCAACACGAGAAACAGCATTGCCAGTAGTTTTCCAACGCTATACCACCGCAACTCCGTAGGAGGTACACTACCACTACCACGACAAAAGAAACAAACTTGCTTGATTCCACGCACTACTTTTCGAAGCCTGTCGGATTCGCCCGATCCCAAATGAGACTCCCGAACAAGCTGAGACCCGTGCACGTGCCTGTTCTCTGAAGACCTCATCTCGGTAGGGCCGCCACGTCTCGTCCTCCGGGTGCGTTCGAAGGAAGTGTGCGTACAAAGGCTCGTCGTAAACAACACAGTCCGGCCTCTGCGTCGGTATGGACAGTTTGTGACGGCAAAAAACGAAATAGAGTCGGAGGGACACAGCGAAACCGATTTGTCCGGGACGGCAGAGCTGGTCTCGTCTCCCCTGGAGTTCAACACACAAGCGAAGCATTCGTTCCTGTTTCATGTCGCCTTGATTTACCTCGCCTCTCCTCCTCGCCGGTTGGCTCTTACGGCCCTCGCACGAAACAGACACCAACCGAAACATCGCTGCACGCCCATGGGAATGTCCAAAAGAAAAGAAAAGAAAAAACGAAAAAATAAACCTCGTCTTTCACCACACATTGCGCTCCCGCGTCATCGACCACACCAGGGACATGGCGCACTCGCGGCTCTCTCTAGCGCCTGTGCAAAGGACTCCCTGGAAGTAGAAGTGCTACAGGAACAAAAAACAACAATAATTGTTTACAGAAGAAATACCTGTGCGAACGAGTACATGAGAGCTGTGCTCAGCGACCGCGGGCTAGCCCAAACGTTGATCCGCACGGTACCGTCCTTGAGCAGCTCACCCCCCTCTGGCACCTGACAGACCCACGGAGGCGATTGTTTTGGTTTTTCAGAAAACTATGCAAGACAGCAGTGGGAATCCCTCAGTAGCGCCGGTGTCTCCGCGGCAGGTTCATCGACACTGTAGCGGGGACCCGGCAGGCACGTTCCAGAGAACCGAGACAGCTTGAGTATTCCATCTGTGTTACGCGGTTATTAGCCACATAAGAAGTCGTTGACCGAACTCGTGAAGGAAGTCTGTCACCGCTCGCTACTCGCTTGTGTCGGTCCCGGGCAAGCCCCCCTTGCAGATCGTTGCCCCGATAATCGACAGAAACAAGTTCTCCCCCGATGATCGACACTTGAGAAATGTAACTCCTCCGCAGCTAGTGATTTCAAGTATTTGTTGCGGGTATCCACGGGGACGTACTCAACACCAAGAGTGGGGGGGGGTCGAGGACAATACAACCCGGCAGCAATTCAAAACCAGACGAATCCTGTGGAGAGAAACGGGATGCCCCCTTCAGTCAACACACGCTACAACCACGGTGCTGGATATGGCACATAGGAAAGACAACGCGATCGACTCGAGCCCTATACAATAGCTTGTTCCAGTTGATGTTAAAACGTTTTTGATAGCGTGCGCTATGCCGTGTGTGTGCACTAGAGCCTGCTCGAGCAGCTGACACAAAGAGGACACAAGAGGCTCGGAACTCGCACCTCGAGTTTCGTCGTGGTCGACGGCCGCACATACTCCTCCGAGTCCTTGTCGTCTTGCTTGGAAGCCTCCTCCGCGGGATTTCCTGAAAGCCCACCCGAAGACAGTTGGAATCATGGCAAGAGAGAAGCAGAGAGGTGATGAGAGGGAAGCGAAGAAAAAGGTTCCAGATGCTGCTACATAGTCTATACATAGATTCGATACAAGTTGCCCACCTACAGAACCCTAGCCGCCTGTATCGCTAATACCATCCTAAGCAGCATCCACGCATGTTGATTCCACACTTTCGGTTCCACTCGTCTACATTCTTCGAAGTGTCGTTCTGGGTAGTTGGTTGTATGTTGTTGTTGTTGTTGTTGTTGTTGTTGTTGTTGTCTTCACATAAAACACCGTTCCGTTCTCTCTGCACTTCTTATAGTCTAAAACTTGATGCGGTCGATTCCCGTGGTCACAGGCTGACTTACCCAAAAAGGTACACGAAAATATAATGGACCAGAAGCAAGTCAATAGAAATCAACGACAGATAGTCTAGGACCTCCCCTCGCCTGTACGCGCTATGCGAGGTAAACATTTTTTTTTTTGTCTTCACTTCAAATCAGCGCTAACAGCAGTAGTGCCGTTTACTCCAACCCGTGGGCACACGGAAGAGCCCCTCTCCACCCTCCCCTCCTGCGGTACTTCGCCTTCGATTTTGAATGCGAGGAGAGTTCTGCACTCTCTTCCCTCTGTTTACACACGAACTAGCGCTATCCACTACGCCAGGAGCGGAAGCGAGAGAAAAACTCACTTTGCAAGAAAAGCTCGCTTACGCCGGCATTCGAACCCTTGACCTGACCTCTACAAGGTTTCGAAGATAGCAACTAGACCACCGGGGCGACCGTCATTAACATGGACTGGACAAAAGAGAAAGAAAGATAAAAGAAAAACAAGAAGAAAGCAGAGTGAGAAAAAGAGGAAAACACAGAGAAAGACACACGCCAAAACCACTACCGTAGCGACAAACAAATAAAACAGCAGAAGACAACGCAAAACGGACCACCCGAGACAGCAAAGACACGCCATCTGCTCGTGGGGGGTTGGTGCAACGGTGCAGTGACGAGGGGGGGATTGGTCAATCAAGGGGTTCAATCCGGCACAGCATTTCGCGTATGTGGTCTGTGTTAAAGAAGTATGCATACAAGTATCATACTTCGTGCTAGCAACGATCGCGTTAACCGGCTGACCAACGAAAAGACGCCAGTCTCAGGGCGGAATAAAACGGAAAACCTCCAACGTCACGATTTGGGATTCCGTGAAGGTGTGAATGCGCCGTCCCGTCATAAGGATGCTCTCGGAGTACATGCAGGGACTTACGCTGACAGATCGCGATTGTGTTTCGACCTTGTCGAAGTATTGTGTTGTAATGAGCCGCGGAGCGCGAAGCGCGACCGTTCTCTTCCCTCCGTCCGAGGAGGGAAAAAACAGGCTCTATCTACCACGGGCCCAAGTTTCAATAAATGACCACCTGAACTTTTTTTTGTGTGTGAATTTTTTTAAATCAACGAATCTTGTTATTTTTTTAGGACAAGTTCCATCCTTTTCGACCAGCACGAGGTATATAGAGCACGATTGACGATCTGCTGGCTTGTGAGGCACAAGAAAAATTGGGCGTTCTTATCGGTGTGGTCTTGCTCCGACAGCAGATGGCCACGCTTCACCGGCATTTGTACCCAGAAACCATAGGAGATACTCCCCAGAACAAAAAAATCGGAGATCTCCCACACACTCACACGAAGTCACGCAGTTGGAAAAGAGGAAGCACTCAGCTAAACACGCAACACCGCTAGGAGGGCTAAGACAGCACTAGCGGGGGAAGGGAGCCATACACACAGCTCGTAGCGGATGCCATTGTCAATGCTGCTGCTTCGGTGTGTGGGGAGGGGTCACCTGAAAACAAACCAGTCAGTCCCAAAGAGGACATGTTTTTTTGTGACGGGTGGTTTTTCTCGCATGTATGCATCTTGCCGACTCTCGCCATTTCTCAGCTTCCGTGGGTCCCATGACCTCGTGTCCTCTATCAGCCGCCACACAAGACGTCGCATACACACAGCTCGCGGGGAATAGCTTTACAATTGCTGCTGCGTCACTCTGTGCAGAGCAACCACCGAAAACCCACATTGGTGGGGGAACGTTTGTATGACATCTACCGTAGGTGACATAAGATACCACACCCCCTGAACCCATTTTTAAAGCTTGAGTACTTCACGTCGAACGGGATGCGTACACCCAGCGAGACGTTGTCCGAAAGCTCTCGACGAGACGGTTCCCACACCACCATTATTGGCACCGCAACTTTTTGTGGTGTGGAGCAACCGATCTTTGGAACTTATCCAGGGGATGTGGTATCTTGTGTCATCTACGGTTCGGCTGTATGCACATACGCCAACGGCCGTACGCTCCAGGAAGGAGCCGTTTTGTTTGGTTGATGGCCCCGATTCAAAAATTCAAAACGATCGACTCGCCACCGCACAAAAGCATCTCAGATACATAGACTACTGCAAGGTATTGAGTGGGCTACCGCGTGGCTCATCACCCCGCCCCATCTGGTAATGTATCCGGCTTTAGAATTGGCTTCACGTATAGGCTACATTCTTGGTTGTATAGACTATTGCATCACATACAATACGGAAGTGCATAAGGTTACATAAGCAGTTATTCAGTGAGAACAAGTACAGATTTGTAAAAGCTTCTCTGGACTGTGGAGAAATTGCGTTGGGCTGTAATAAGACATTGCACAGATTCTCTCGAGCTGTCGGGCCAGTCGTGGCCTGTCGAGTCGAACAGCCCGGCAGAAGACGTCGGCTTCATTCACAAACCTACACGGTGAACAGCTGGTTCTGATCTGATGTTGAACCATGTGTCAGCACATGCCAACAACAGCGGAGCATTGGCCCGGCAGCTGTCAGGGGCTGTGGGGCGAGCGTGTACGTGTGGACAGGGCACGAGAGGGGAAAAGAGCATACAGTAGCGTACATATGGACCGGTCGCCCCGGTGGTCTAGTGGGTACCCTCGCAGCCTGCAATTTAAGGGCCAGGTCATAGATTCGAGTCCCGGCAAAGTGAGTTCTTCTTCTCCCTAAATAAATCCTGGTCTAAGTTGAAAGCGATGCGCTGCAAAGCTCGTTGTTGGTAAACTAGATCGACTTCATAAGTCGCGAGGGAAGGGATTGCTGTACCCTTCTCGCGATAAAACTATCTCAGGCAGGAACCGCAGGAGGGGGTCCAACCCCCCCCTCCTATGTGACCCCGGTTGGGTCGTCTAGCTAGCAGAAGCGGAGGAAGGGCGCCAGAGGGGTAAACGACAGAGCCCAATGATGGGAGAAAAAAAAATATACATATATATATATAGCAAGGCGGTGACCGAAGCATCATGTGTGGCAATCATACAGATCGGTTTTTGAACAGCCCGCCACGAGACGTCACTACCACCACCACCGCTGTGCAAAGCTGTAACCAAAAATGTAAACGGTGACAGCTGTTTCTGGCACATGCCAACAAGTTATTGGCCACGTAAAAACTTCAGAAGATAGAGCAGAACACACATTACTGCTGTAACGTATAACACAATGTGTCGATGCAATCTTTTTCTGTTCTTTTCGGAATACAGCGGAGACATTGTGGACTGCTGTCTCATCTCGCCTTTCCCGACCGGGATTTTTTAGACATTATGATCCTACGGTCACTACCTGATACTGTGGTCGCACGCTAGAAACGCACATATACGCACATATATGCAGTACGCACATATATGCAGTATATTCTTCGCTACCCTTTCGAGGGTGTGTGTGTGTGTGTGCGTGCGTTTTTTCTTCGAGAAAAACACCGCTCGATGACGATGCCGCTCAAGTCGTTCTGCTGGCGGCCATGATTCCGACACTGCTCAACTATTTTTTGTACATAAGGTAAGCAGCACCACGTAGTTACCAACAGCAGTCGAGCCATTTATGTATGTAGTATGGTGGTGTCAGCAAAGATGCAGAGCAATGCCCATATGTCGGTGCAGACCGCTGAGCCTGAGGTCGGGGCGTCGGCTTGAACATACTTTACACATGCGCGCGGCATGAGGGCTTTCAACCAACAAAATCCAGAAAATTGAAACACTTAGTATTTTTTCAGCCAAATTCCTGCAGAAGGATCTCTAATATTTCGAAGGAAAAGCTCGCCGAGCTCCCAAAAATGGCGCAACCCCTGTTGGAAGTGTATCGATATGCAATAATCATGTACAACATCTATTTTTTCTCTGTCTGCTTTTTGCGTGTTCTTGCATCACTCCTTGCCGCGGTACTCTCTTTACCCTACTCCGGAGGGGTGCCTTGTAAGACTATCTACAGATTGGTATTTTTTCCACGGGACTGTGCAAGACTGTGAAGAAAATTCGTAGGGTTGCAAGAAGACTTTGCACTGATTCTCAGCAGCTGTCGCGTCGTGCGTCGGGCCAGTCGTGACATGTCTCATCGAACAGCCCGGCAGAAGACGTCAGCTTCAACCAAATACGTACGCAATGACAGCTGTTTGTCACGTTCAACCAAATACCAACAGTTGATTGGCCACACCAACAAGAACGTCAGAACAACCAGCGGCGGACCAGTTGGCGCCGCTCAATCAATTCGTCGTTCTGCTGATGATGGCGATGAGGCCATGATTGGGGCTGACTGCTGAATGTATGCAGTTTCGAGCAGCCGTAGAGCAATGTATATGTCGTGGCAGTGTCAGCAGAGATGCTGAGCAGCACGCACATCTCCGTGCAGACCGCGGAGCCCGCGTCAGGAGGCCGCCACGCCGGCACATGCATAGCACATATATTCACATCCATCCGATCGGCTGCGGGTTTTCAACCCAAAAACTCCAGAAACTACAGAACTTCTTTTTGCAGCCAAAATCCTCCAGAAGGATCTGTTTAGAATATCGATGAAAAAGCTCGTGGCGGTGTCAGCAGCGATGCAGAGCAGTGCACACGTCTCCGTGCACACCGCCGAGCCCGAGGTCGGGAGGTCGGCATGCACATATGTATACACATCCATCCGCGCGGCTGCGGGCTTTCAACCAAACAAAATCCAGAAAATATATAGCCAAATTCCTGCAGGAGGATCTCTTTAACAGCGGGAGGCAGTATCGATGAGAAAGCTCGCGCCGACCTCGCAAAAATTGCGCGAACCTATTTTTTCTTGGTGCACAGCTGTGGTAGAGCAGGATATAAGTATGTAGTAGCTGTTTTCGTATGTTCGCCTTTTGCATGTTCTTGCATCACCCCTTGCCGCGGTGCTCTCTTTACCCCACTCCGGAGGAGGCATGCACACATAAATACATATGACATACATATCACACATCATGCATGATGCGTGCGGCATGCGGGGCGTCAACAAAGAAAAATCCAGAAAAAACGCCGCACAATGATTCGTCGTTCGTTCTGCTGTGGCCATGTCCGACTGCTGAATGAACTACATACGTACGCACAGCAGCAGCAGAGAGGAGCCCCATGTATGTAGTTTCCAGCAGCGCAGTCTAGCAATGTTTGTCGTGGCGGTGTCAGCAGAGATACAGGGCGAAGCAATTCCAGCTCGTTTTCTTTCTTTTTTTTCTGTTCAGGTCTGTCATACCTGTCACACGGGGGAGATGTTCTGGACTGCTGTCTGTCTCATCTCGCCTCATCCCGACCGGATTCTTGAGACATCACGATGCTACGGTCACTACCTGATACTGTTCGCACGCTGGAAACCCACATGTAACATAGTTTGTTCTTCGTTGCCCTTTCCGAGGGGGTGTGTGTGTGTGTGTGCGTGGAGAAAAACAGAAAGAAACGGCTTGATGACGCTGCTCAATCAATTCGTCCTTCTTCTGCT